CCAACTGTTGTGAAGGGTGTTTTCTTCACCAGGGAAAGAATTCTTTGGTCATCCACCACAGTTGTTTTCCGTGGTCTTCCGGGTCTTTTGGTGTTGCTGAGCTCATCGGTGCGTTCCTTCTTTTTAAGAATGTTCCAGACAGTTGTTTTGGCCACGCCTAATGTTTTTGCTATCTCTCTGATGGGTTTGTTTTGTTTTTTCAGCCTAATGATGGCTTGCTTCACTGATAGTGACAGCTCTTTGGATCTCATCTTGGGAGTTGACAGCAACAGATTCCAAATGCAAATAGCACACTTGAAATGAACTCTGGACCTTTTATCTGCTCATTGTAATTGGGATAATGAGGGAATAACACACACCTGGCCATGGAACAGCTGAGAAGCCAATTGTCCCATTACTTTTGGTCCCTTAACAAGTGGGAGGCACATATGCAAACTGTGTTGTAATTCCTACACCGTTCACCTGATTTGGATGTAAATACCCTCAAATTAAAGCTGACAGTCTGCACTTAAAGCACATCTTGTTCATTTCATTTCAAATCCATTGTGGTAGGTGTATAGAGCCAAAAATGTTAGAATTGTGTCGATGTCCCAATATTTATGGTCCTGACTGTACTTACCTTAACCCCTTGCCTACCAGGCATTTTTACCCCCTTCATGCCCAGGCCAGCTTTCAGCACAGTCTCACTTTGAATGACAATTGCGCAGTCATGCAACACTGTACCCAAAAAAAATTTCACACAAATAGAGCTTTCTCTTGGTGGCACTTAATTGCCACTGGGGTTTTTAATTTTTTGCACTATAAGCAAAAAAAGAGCAAAAAGAAAAAAAAGTCTTTGTTTCTATTATAAAATTTAGAAAACAGGTACATTTTCTCTTTCACTGATATGCATTGATGAGGCTGCACTGACAGGCAGCACTGATTGGCACTTATGGGCGGCACTGATGGGCACTGATGAGGTGGCACGTATAGGCAGCACTAATGGGCACTGATAGGCTGCATTGATGAGGTGGCACTGGTGAGCATTGATGAAGAGGCACTGATATGCAGCAATGATGGGCACTGCTGGGTGTCACTGCTGGGCACTGATAGCTAGTGCCCTGATTATCAGTACAGATCTGCTGTGTGACATTTGCCGGTTATCGGCATTACTTTCCTCACACTGTGACTATATTTACTTTGCGAACTGCTGTGTCATTGGACACAGCAGATCACACGGCAAAAGGCTGCTGTTATTGGCCTTTTACCTAGTCATGTGATCAGCTGTGTCCGTAAGACACAGCAATCACTGACAGCACTGGGTGCACGAGGGGGGGGAGGGGCGCGTTCTGGGAGGATGTCATATGATGCCCTCCCTGAACTGGACAACCAAGCTAAAGCCGTCATTCAACTATATCATGGTTGTAAAGTGGTTAAAGCGATACTAAAAGTTCTTTTTTTTTTCCTGTAAAATAACAAACATGTTATACTTACCTGCTCTGTGTAGTGGTTTTGCACAGAGCAGCCTGGATCCTCCTTTTCTCGGGTCCCCTGATGGCACTCCTAACTCCTCCTTTCAGTCAGTTGCCCCCATAGCAAGGAGCTTGCTATGGGGGCACCTGAGCAGGCGTGTTCCCAAGCCACTGCTCCTTAATTCCATTCACACACAGAGCCGTGGCTTGTCCCTACCCCCTCTCTCTCTCTTCATTGGCTGACTAGTTGTGATTGACAGTAGTTGTCTCAGCCAATGAGGAGGCAGAGATCCGGGGCAGCTGAGACACATCGATGGATCGGGATGGCGCTCAGGTAAGTAATGAGGGGGCGGGGGGCACTCCTGCACACACATAGAATGCATGAAGGTAAAAAAAAAACCTTAAACCTTTAGAACCACTTTAAAATTAAGTCCTCCAGTTTCGCACTGTCACCACTGACAGGGCTTCCATCTTCACCTGATCTTCCTTCCAAGTTTGCGGGCTCCAGCCATCTGACTGGCCGAGCTGTGATGACGACACTTCCACTCAGGCGTGCAGGAGCTCCAGGCATGGCACACAGCTCTAAAGGAATGGCACAGGTATTATATGTTAAATGTGTAAAAATATTAACAAACAAAACGGTAACAAAAAAGTTTAATTATTAATCGTTAATAAAATAGAAACAAACAAAATAATCTGCGGGAAAATAATAGTTGAGATAAGAGTTGAAGAGAGCTGATTAGGCAAACTAAAGGTTAATAAGGGGTTGAATAGAGGAATATTTTGTTACAAAATGTTTTTATACCTGTTAGGTTGCTTTAACTGTCATCCTGTGCAGATGTTTATTCCTTTGATCTTCAGATAAAAGAACAGAAAGATACAATTTAACATATTGTTACTTTTGTATCTTTTCTATAAGCAGGTCTTGATCAGTGTTGTTTATAAACACTGATTCAGACTGCTTTTTTGACAGCTAGAGCTACCAACTTCTTTGAGTATACTTTTTTTTTTGTATTTGATTTATCACAGCCGACAATTACAGTATACTGAGGGGGGGGGGGGGGGGGGGGTCCCAGAGCAGGGTAGAGAGACTACCTTAGACGGGTAGAGAGGCTGCTCTAGTACACATGTCCTATGCACAATGATGACTTTTTTGGGGCGTGTGTAGCACACCCAAAGTCTGCAACTAGTTAAGCAATGACAAAATTATCTCCAGATCAATAGGCTGTGGGAAGTATAGCTCAATGTAACAGTTTAAGGACTGCTTTAAAGCCACCTGTATCTTCTTTTTAAAGAGGGTACGATTGGGTCCACCTGAAAAACTGGCAGGCAGACCTGCTTGTGTGAAAGGGACGTAAAAGTTTAGGAAAAACAAACTACATAGATTAAATTGGAGGAATGTTTTTTATTTTTTCTAATTAAAAAGCACAGGGGGTATTGTGTTGTCATACTGTATATTTAGGGAGTCTGCTCAAGAAATATACTCAGTTTCTGAAAATTTAAAAATAAACAGACAGAGGATACTTGGTGAATAGCTGCTGAAATAAAAGGGTTTTCTAAATGTATTCTAAAGAAATGCTGTTCTAAGATGATATATTGGCATATGTGAAATTAGAATTGTTGCAGTTAAAGTGTTACTAAACCCACCACAGTAAAATCAGTCTGCATATGCAGTAAAGCATGCTTGTTATACTCACTGTGGAATCTAGGGGTTTAATCCTCTGCATTGTGTAAAAGGGCTGTTTGATCCTGACTTCTTTGATCCTCCCCTTCTTCCATGTTCCCCATTTCATCCCCTGATAGAACACTCTGCACATGCTCAGTCTGGTGTGTATTGCTAGAGAGATTTTTTTTTTTTTCTTGGGAGAGTGCATGTGATCAGCACAGGACCAATCAGCACTGTCCAGACAGAGGTCAGGGGTTCTGCATCCTCCAAAAGCAGAAGGAAAACTCCTCCTCCTACAAATTTTAACCAGTGCTCTGCTGGACATTGATAGAAGTCACAAGACTGCTGTAACTGCTGATGAGAAAAGGTATTTAGCAGTTTATATTTACTAAAATAATGGCACTTCCATGTTCTGTGTACTGTGGGAGACCAGATAGAGTGAATGCAGGGTCCTGGGTTTAGTAACACTTTAAGTGCTTTTCTTGCCCACGTTTATTAGAAATAAATTCAAGAAAAAAGAGTAAGGTTGGCCATAGACATGTTGAAACAAATGAGGAAGATGGAGGAATCACCCCTGCCAGCACATATTCCAACAGTTGGAAACAACTTGTTTCATGAATATAATAGGCTTTCAAGAAAACCTCTACCTAGCAATAAATAATTTTTGTAAATTATAAAAAAAATGCATCTAAATCTTCCCACAAATAGTGCAGTGATTAAGCTACATAGGCATCCTGAAATAAATTACCTTTATTGCAGGGAGTCTGGCAGCCTGAGCTACAGTTTAAAATACTGTACAATTTTAGCTTTTGTTCCTATGTTTAAGAATGTATTTTGATAATTTTACATATAACAGTTTTATAGTCAATTTTTCTTTTACACACTGTAATGCACCATGGTGGCTTAGACTGTGTGTGTATATAATTATTTTTTTTTTGTGTCTGATTATAGAGTATCTTACGAGTGTGATTAACTGATTAGTTTAGAGTTGTCACCAATACAAAAGGTGAGGGTAAACCCTTTTGGTGACAAATACCTTTCTTTGAGATTTCCTCTTACCTGCTGGCAGTCCATACAGAAATTAACTGAAGTCTCTGCAATGGCATAATACAGGCATCCCAGGTAAACAAAAAAAAAGCAGACGGGTTCAATCCTTCTCCTTCTCTCTAAAGACACTTTAACAACTTAGATTTGCACATTATATAGCTAACTTGAAACTATGTTTTCAGTTTTAGGTGGTTGCTACTGATCTGCATCACTTGCTGACTTTTCATGTTTCTAAAGGGATTTTTTGATTCCTTACCAGAGTAAGAAATGGTGACATAGTTTCCTAAAATCTAAATAACTGGAGAACCCAGTTGTCTTATAATAGAGACTTTAATTGAAATGCCTTCATCTACTTTTTTTTTTTTTTACTTTTCTTTTTTTTTAGAAAGATGGAGCCATCTTGTTTAGGCATTATCCGGGATCACTTCATGAGAAATTGTCTCAGAGGTGACGTGCCCGAGGGCCCGCAGTCAGTAGGGGGCCCCATGAGATGCCCCTGGTACCTTTTTCATAGGCTTTTTTGAGTTTGGGCAAGGACACAGGGGCCCCATAATCCCCTATTGCCCGGGGGCCCTATGAGTTGTCAGTCTGCCCCTGGTAGTATTATAACAAAGTGGAAGCAGCTCAGCCATGAAGTGGTAGGCCAGGTAAAATGACACAGCGATGTCAGTGCATGCTAAAGCGGACAGTCAATAGCTAAAGACTAGAGATGAGCGAAGTATTCAAAAATTCGATTCGGCTGATTCGGCGAATTCGAGGAATAAATTTGATTCGATGCGAATATATTCGCTGCGAATTTAACTTATAAAAGGGTGTTTCTAGGCTTCAGAGAGCCTTCATATTAGTGCAGAACACTGTACCTTTAATTTAAATGCCCTTGGAGTCTGCTGGGGAAGAGAAATAATACTGTCAGTCAGTATGACATGCAGATGAGTGCCGTCGATCTTAGAATCACCGCACACTTCACTCATTTGGGCAGTCACGGGGCCAAAACCAGAGTGTGGAGCCACAGTGTGGCGGTGGAGGCAGCAGCAATGGGAGGCCATACAGCACCCTATGACAAAAATGGAACCCACCAGCATTGTGAGGAGACCTGAAAGTGGCACATGGCAGAGTGTGGCGATGGATACAGCAGCAATGGGCAGTGTGAGGAGACCTGAAAGTGGCACATGGCAGAGTGTGGCGATGGAGACAGCAGCAATGGGAGGCCGTACAGGGACCCATGACACACTGTGGACCTGGCAGCAGCATGAGGAGAGCGGTACAGGGGCCCATGGCAGATTACGGGACCTTGGCAGCAGCAATGGGAGGCCCGTAATCTGCCAGCACCCCACTATGACAAAAAATGGAAAACACACAGCAGTGTGAGGAGACCTGAAAGTGGCACATGTTTGGTGCATGATTCATGGCGGATTTAGTCAGTTGTGTCAGGAACTGGTGGTTTGAAACCCCAGACTAATCCACGCCTGATTCATTTTCACAAACGTGATTCTCTCCACACTTTGGGTTGGACAGTCCGTGTCCTCCGCGGAGTTACAATACCTCCTGCCGCACTAAACACGTCTGCGCTCCCGATGCCACGCTACTGGCCGGGCATGACAGCTTTCAAGGGCATTATTCAGCTAGTTGGGTCCAAAGGTCAAGTTTTCGTTGCCACAGTAGTCAAGGGGATTGTCTACCTCGGTTGGCAGGGTGTGTCAAGTAGGCCCAAGCCTGTTGTTTGAGGTCCTGCTCCAGGTCCACCTGATGCTGCTGCTGCTGCGGTGGTTAGTAGTTTCTCACTGCGCTGGTGAAGAAAGCTACTCATCATTGGGACTGCAGACTGAGGCAGCCGCTGCTGGTGGAGCTGCCACTGGCTCCCTACCACCCCACCCCCTCCCCTGGCTGCCATGGCAGCGGAACGCGAGCGCACAGGGCCCACAGTGTCTGAGGATGGACGTTGGCGCAGAAAGCAGAGACCCAACTGACTACATAGGTGGTTTTTATAGTACGTTATTTTGGCCTCCCTCTCAGCAGGTGTGAAAAAGGCCACCATTTTTGAACGGTAGCGAGGGTCCAACAAGGGTGGACAGCCAAAAGTCATCCCTCGTCTGGATGGTTATTTTTCGGCTGTCGC